TATATATTGATTTCTACTTTTGCGATCCCACCCTCCCGCCCCCACCTCCCACTTTTGGACAGAAAAAGATGTTTTCTGGCTTGTGAATATATTCATGTGATTTTTTTCTTACTTTTAGAAATTATTTCATTTTATAGAGTTCTTTAATTTAGCTTTAATTTATTTTGGTGTGTAATACAAATTCAACTTAATTTTGATATAATTGTTTTATACCAAATTTCATATATTTATAAAAATACTCAAAAGCTAGCTGCATTAAGATGAAAATATATTTTGATAATCCAGGTACTCTTAGCTCTAGAAGTCTCTTAGGACTTCCTCCTCATCATATGGAGGAGAAAGCTGAGGTCTGGACAGACTCAAGGATTTGGGCCAAGGCTCCACTGAGAAAAAGTACAGAGCGCCTAGACCCCCTGCAGCTCTCCTAGGACACTCTGCTTAGGCAGTACTCCTCAATTATAGATTGAAATCAATTAAGTACCTGAAACAAACAGGTACTAACTAGGCCAATTCCATCCAGGAATCGCCTCGAGCGATATTCAGATTTTAGCTGGCAGTAAACACCTAGGATAATATTAATGACTGCTCTTTTAAAATTCTCCTCCTTTTCAGTTTTGTTCTAAGACAACGGAAGAGGACTTTTAGCAGGAGACAGCACAACAGGGCTTAAGCATAGAAGGCAAACACAATGACTAACGTGTGTCAGTGTCCAAGACTTAAGCTGGCTGCAAGAAAATTCAGAAAAGTTTAAAGGTAATGATGACCATCCATAATCCTATCATCCAGAGAATAACACTATTTTAACATTTTTATATCCTTGCAGGCATTTTCTAGGTGTACACATGCACACAAATTTATTTTGGAAAAAGTGGGAACATACCATACAAATATTTTGTAAATATTCTTCTCATTGAACTTCATACGTAGGGATCTTTAACTCTACATCATTTTAAGTGTATTATTTTGAGAGAAGAGAGGGTGCACATGCATGCATGGATGGGGGAGGGGCAGAGAGGGGAGACACAGAATCTGAAGGGAGCTCCAGGCTCTGAGGTGTCAGCAGAGTCTGACGTGGGGCTCGAACCCATGAAGCGTGAGATCATGACCTGAGCCAAAATCAAGAGTCAGACGCTCAACTGACTGAGCCATCCAGGGACCCCTACAGCATTGTTTTTAATGGCTATATAATATTCAATTATGAAGCACAATTCTCTTGACAGACATTTAGAGTTGTGTGAGAAGAAATTT